AATTGCAAAGCTGTACTAAACGAAATGTCATTTTGTACACACTCTGTGTACACAAAGTTGTCTTAAGTCTGGTCTAATATTACATCCAGATTTCTAACAGTTTAGCTTAACTTAAAAGCCACTGATTTCTGTGGTAGTAATATCACACTTTTTTATTTCCTCTACTGAAGGAACCTGATTAATAAAAAGTTTTCATTTTTAAATTAATCAAAACATTATTATGTCTGAAATAACTGTTTTCTTTTTGCTATTTTAACCACACCTACCGGTAAGTGTAAGTAAAAGTTTATGTACAATTATGTCATGTTTTGTGTTAATACACATAAAGATAATCAATAAATGAGATTTTATCAGTTCATCCCTCTGGTAGAGCTGAAAAATACTCAAAACAACTTAGAAGTACTGGATTTTATGTGAATTAGAATACCTGCCACTTTTTGTTGATGATCTCTGCTGGTATGGCCACAAATGTCTTCATACCAGGAGCGAGGTAGAGACCCGTGCTGATCCACTCCTCCCTTTCTAATAAACACAAAAGGTCATAATTAGCAATATGTACATCAGTGTTTAGCAAAAAAAGTTAGTATGTTTTTTACAGCATTTCTTAAGGATGATATCACAAACAGCTTTAAGGTAGGAAAACGTACGACAGAGCATAGAAATGATCCATTTTGACCCAGTGATGAACCAAACTGCTGCATTTTCAGCTGAGAGAGTAGCTGCCATACATCTAACCAACCTATCAGAGCATTGGCTAAATACTTAGAACAGATCAATATAGGGATGCGCCATAATTTTTTCGACTAAATAATAACAAAACTGAGGTAATATTCAGACCAAAGGAGGAGAGATCCAGACTTAGCTCACAGCTTGAGCTACGACAGCTAGAAACCACTGATTATGGCTGAAATTTGGGTGTCATGATGGACTCGGACCTGAACTTTCAGAGTCTCACCTGAAGAACATTTCCAGGGTTAAAAGACTAATGTCCAAGCAGGATCTAGAAAAACACATTCATGCATTTATCTTTAGTAGGACTAATTACTGCAACAGCGTCTTTATAGGTTTGCCTAAAAAGACAGGTGCAGCTGATCCAAAACGCTGCCGCCCGTGTTCTCACTAGAACTAAGAAAGTAGAGCACATCAGCTTGTTTTCTGAAGTCCTTCCATTGGCTCCCTGTAGCTCAGAGAATAGACTCTAAAATAATTCGGTTAGTCTATAAATCCCTGAATGGATCAGCAGTTTACAGGTTTCTGGTGTGTATATGCATTAGGTGTGGAACGGTTCACAAAATCCACGGTTCGGTTCCCGGTTTTCGGTTCGGTTCGGAATATGTTTAGTGTTACACCAAAAAATAAAAAAATTTATAAAAATTATAAAAATTTATGAAAAAATTTTAATTTATGAAATTAATGAAAAAAAATTAAAAACTTATGAATTGTAATTATTTTTAATGATCCGCGGAAACCCTGGATCATTTCCGCGTTTTGCTGCTTTGAATGTAATCATCTGGCGCATGCTCTCTACGATCTCCAAGGAACTCAGAGCGGAGCGGACGGGAGCCACAGTGGAGGCTGTAGGCTTTGCTTTGTGCAGGCGGTCTGGAGCGCAGCGGGGCGGAGTGGAGCGCTGATGGAGTATGTGGGACTTCGGGGTTAGCATGACATGTTGGTCGTGTTGCTGTTAGCATAAACAAAACGTGTTGCACAATGCTTGCACACTGTTGCACTTTTATCCACAACTTTCTTTCCGCCGTCATCGTAGGTCACTCTAAATGCAAAGTGGTCCCATACAGCAGACCTATAAAGTGCTGCTGGCGCGTCTTCCAACTCCTGTTCTTTCCCACTCGCCATACCCACACAATTCTCCACAACAACTGATTTTTTTCTGCTACACCCGGCTACGCTGCTTCGCTTCTTCTTCTTTGTGTTTACTACTGGTGGTTGGCTTTGGTCGCAGTACCGCCACCTTCTGCTCTGGAGTGTACACGCTTCACCTATGAGAAAAAGGAACAGCGCATAAACCGAACGCAACAAACACGAATCGAACCGAGACAGTCGAACCGAACGGTTCGGACGGTGTTCATAAACTGTTCCATCCCTAATATGCAGATAATGAACTCAAGCCTACATTACTGTGTTAACATGCTTTTCAATCCTTCCTGCACATTCTTTTCAAACTAAACTTTGGTTTTTGGGAAGACAACGCTTTTGGGTCATTTTCTTCGAATGTAGGTGATGTTTGAGTGATTATGCGAATAAAATGATACAGAAACACAGGTACAACAGCGCTTTCTAGCTTGTTTGTCGTTTTGGTAACTACGTCAAAATTACCGCTAGGTGGACAAAAATCACGCCATCTGACGGAAAATCACCTGACTTTTTCAAATCACGCAAGAATGTGTACAAAACAACAAAAATGGCGCCGGCAACGCTTCTGGGTCGTTTTCATCGAATGTCGGTGATTTTAAAGAAATTTTAAGTGATAAATAATTTTTTTCTGCGATCATTGCACTTGCCCGGCGGGCAAATGCAATGAAATTTGTACTCTCCCAACAATAAAAACTACTTGCCCCGGGAGATCGGGCGATGGTTAACATCGAGCCCTGAACTAGAACCAAACATGTAGAAGCATCATTTAGTTTCTATGTTCCACTGATCTGGAACCAACTCCCATAGGACTGTTAAAGTGCCTTAAAGCCTGAGTTCTTTAAATCAAAGTTAAAAACCCATTTGTTTAGAGCCGGCTTTGACTGTTGAAGCTAAACTGCTAACTGAGGTATTATTAGTTTAAGGTTTTTTTAATTTGCTTTCCTATCTGCTTTTATTGTTTTTTCTAGCTCTACTTGCTTGTATTTATTTGTCTTCTATTTTATTGTTTAATTCATGTAAAGTACTTTGTATTATCTTTGGACTGAATTGTACTGTACAAATAAACCCCCAACATATTTACTAAATGGAGCAAATAATATGCTGCAGTAGCAAAAATGAGATTAATTCATGACCAAACACCTTAATATCTGCAGTGGGGGATTACTGCAGACCTATATGGTGTCAGGGAGTTGGAAAACACCTTTACTGTGATTTCATCGCAGCATTAGTGGGTCACAGCTTTCCAAAAAACTACATCCCTAACTTTCTCTAGCTTAAACCTACTGCCAAATGGTGAATGTTTATGTCAACATCTCTGTTTCTTAAATCAAAAATATTTATGTATATCATCTGCATTGAAATTATACCATATTATCTATATTAGGAAATAATATACAAAATAAATAGAATTGGTCCCTGGAAGCAACTACTATATAACATCATGAAAGAGATACGATCTAACTTTAAGGTAGAAAATAATCCAGTCTATTGCCCCACCTGATATGCCCATTCATTCAAAATAACCTATTTATAAGGATGAGGTGATCTGTTCTATTAAAGGCAGAGACAATTTTAAGGAGAACACAACAGGGTAGTTTTAGTAAAAACATTTTCCTTTACTTAAACAAGCTCTAATCTCTCTAGTTTCTATAAAGGCGTGTCCAGACTTTGATTGGATAAAGACATTTTAGATTTTACCAATATCCCCTAAAAGGCCATAGAATTTGCCTCATAAGACAAACATGATTTTGGTTTAACTGGAGGGTACAACAAAATAAAAATAAAAGAAACCTGCTGTGTTGACGTCCAGCTTGACCCTGTGGTTGTAGACAACTGGTAACAGGGGATTATCCTTGATGAGGTAAGGCAGGAGGGCGTCTGGATCTGGGCAGTGTTTATAAACCTCCGTCCCAACTTTAAGAAGTACGTGATCTTTGGGACTTTTGACGGGGCATTTCTCACTCACCTTAGATAGGACAAAATAACAAAAATTATGGTATTATGGTGTAAATATTATGTTAACTGGTTCAAGTAAAAAAAAAATATATATATATATATATGTTTTTGCTGTTTTATAAAGACTTGATAAATTCTAAAAACCTGTCCATTTGTGCTCACCTGCGGCATGCCAGACTTTTTTAAGATGTCCGTGAGTGTTGCCACCACCTGAGAGTAGTGGCAGCAGTCATAAGCCTTCATGTTCAAGTAGACGGAGCAGTCATTGCCCAGCTTTTTCATGAACTCCTCCTCTTGCTTGCTGAGTTTTTCATTCAACGTTACATGCTTCGCAAAGCGGTGGAGAAGGTGACGGAAATGGTATGTATCTTTCAGGGCCTGGCTGGGATCGGGAACCTTGTGTGAACCTGCATTAATAGTCGACTTCAACAGGCTCAGCCCCATTTGGTTTATTATTTTGTTTCCTGAAAGAGTCAGAAGAAGTCAGTGAAACACAGAGACAAAAAACAGCATAAATTATCTAATCTTAATGTTTTGGGGCTGAGGACAGCAAAAGCATGCAGATGGGGCGTATAAAGGACATGTGCACATGGCTGTGGCAGTTAGAGCTGACTGGAGGTAAATCAGGGGCAGCTTCCATTAAGTCTAACAAAACAAAATTAACATTCTCAGTAAAATAAGATCCAACTATAAAAAGAAGGAGCAACATTTAAAACCTGATGAGGGTTCCCTCATTCTATGCTGTAGCTTTTTTTCCCCAATTACAGAAGGTTTCAGTTTCACTGCAGATTTCTTTCGGTTAGGAAATTAGAATAAAACCTGAAACCTACAAAAAAATCCTCTTTTTTTTTTAAATCATTATTTATAATGACCATCATGGTTCTTAGCTCTGCAAACCGACAAAGGGTTTGGTTAGTTTGGTTTTTAAAAAATCTCACAAAGTAATTTATTAGCATTAAGTGTTTTAAAAACTTATTTTGTTGCGATAGCTAATGACATAAGTTTAAATAACTAAAAAAGCCCCCTGTTGCGGCCTTAGGAGTTAGAATCAAGTGTTCTTGCTGCAGGTGGATGAAGAGGAGAAGTGATAGACCAAAATGACCTAAAGGAGCCTTTGGTCTAGCCTTCCAAAGATAAAATAAGATAAGAGTTATAAGAAATTAAATAAATTAAAATAAGAAATAAAAAAAAGAGTACTAATTTGCAGTGGAAGCATAACATCTTTAAATGCAACATGAAGAGACAGAATCATCAAAAGGTTATAACGTCAGTTACCGTTTTAAGTAACATTTTTATGCTACTGACAATTTTATTTTATGTATTAATTTAAGCTGTAATAGATTTTTTTTCCCATATAATTATGCGTCTTCTAAAGCAGTGATATCCAACCAGGGAAACTTGGACCCCTAGTGGTCCAAGAGTGCATTGCAAGGGATAAATTTAAATATTTTATTTCTTAAGGAAGTACAATAAAATAGGGCTGGGATATGTTCTGCTTTGTGAGGACCCAACTGAAAACTAAAATAAGCTCTTATCAACCGTAAAGTAAGTTTTTCTTATATGTCTGAGTTCACCTTCAGCTTTGAGACACATCATAACAGAGCAGAGGAACGGGCTAGAAGTAAAGAACTGTCTGGTATCAGCTGTTTTTCCACACCGGAGCTCAACAAAGCAGCTCAGGTATCATGAATAATGAAAAAAAATTTAAAAATGTCTTACTATAGTTTTGGTTTAATATTTTGCTCCTAATTCCTTGTGTCTTAATGTGATTGTAAAAGAGTTACTCAGAGGAGCTCCAGTTTTATAAAGACAGATTTATAGTATGATTTTATTTTGTATTCATTTTGATTCCTTACCAACTTCCAGGCAAAACATTTATGTAGTGTTTTTTTTTTCTTTATATGAGTTGGAAAGAATAAAATGTCAAATAATTCAATGCTCAAGTTAATTTTTTTTTTTTTTTTATTAAATACTAATCAGATGTGGTACATCCTACTTTTGAACAGTATCAATACTTTTGGCTGAGAGTGGTGCTCATGGTCAGTCAAAATGCCCAAAGGAGCAAACAAGTCAAAAAAAAGGTTGGGAACCACGGTTTTAAAGTATATTTATCTTGCAATTCCTCTATTGTCCTCAAGGTGTCATCATCACCAATCTAAACATCCCTCCATTATTGGTTTCTTCTCTATCTTAAATCTTTTGCATACTTGGTTTCTATCCCTATCAGAGCCACCAGAAATGTATTTGGTTTCAATTTTTTTCAATTATTTTCTAATGATTTATTAGGGTTTATTACCTCCAAAATCTGTGAAAGTGTTTAGTTCACCGTGTGTCTGTGCCCACCACCAGACATGTCCACCAATCACAAGACCTCCTCCTTCTGCTACAAAGTTCTGGATCTCTTTCCAGTCCTCGTTGGGGTTTGATGGGGACACAAACACACTCAGGTCTTTCCTGAATCCTGTGTTCTCCGTTTTCAGACCTGAGTCTTTAGCTATCTTAATGCCATGTTTGACTGCTACGCCAATAACGCCCCTACGGCCTTCATCCAGCCAGTGAAAGGCGTTCTTCCAAAATGAAGCATTTTCCTGGGTTATGATCACATGTGAGAAGAGAAAGGTAAAAATGTGAAAAAAAAATAAATAAATGTAAGTTTTTTTTGTTTTTGTTTTTTATTTAATGAACTTTATTACCTCAGCGCTCAGAACACCTTCATGTCCAGTAACAATGACCCGACCTTGACCGTAGTAGGCTCCAGCCAGGAAGGCCTGTCCACCCCCTGTGGTAGCAATTGGGAACGCTAGAGGGCCATGAACCAGAACCTCTGAAGATACTGAACCCTTTGGAATAGCAAGCTCTGAAACACCGTGGAGTAAGAACTGCAAGTCGTCCTCAAAATCCTTCCCTAGTCTGTAGTTTAAAAGGGAAACAAGTGATGAAGAATAATTAAAAATGACTCAGCAGATCAGATGTTTTACATTATTAAATTCAGAAAGGTGGCAGCAGCGAACCAATGGACTTCGGTAGGTTATCAGCTACTAACTAAACGTTTGCTAACATAAATTTTAACTCTTAGACATAATCATACGTATCTATCCATCTATCCCATACTTATGCAGAACATTTGTTTTCTATTTGTGAGTTTAGAAAAAAAACAATGTGAATTTGAAAACTATGTTTTTCAGAAAAATATCAATTTAAAAAGAAGGTTTGGATCTAAAATTTTAGATTAAAGTTGAAGACTTTTCTTATAGACTAAGATAGAAGAAGTAGAGTATATGCTCACGTTACAGCCATCCAGGAGGCTGGGATCTGTGGGTAGACTGGGAGGTGTTCAACTTCACCCGGATTCTTGGAAAAGTAAATCCCTGCAACTCCTGACACCTTGTTTCCATCAAAGTGATGTAATGTATTCTCCTTAGGGTGATCTGCAGCCCAGCTCCATGCCTGACCCGCTATCAGCACCCCTCCTCCCTCTTTCAGAAAGTCCACCAAGTCTTTTGGGTCAGCACCAACGTTGTATACGTCAGTCACGTAAACACCAGACTGCAGATTCCTGCTAAAGCTGCCGACCACTTCTACTTGGAAGGTTGACTTGCTTAGGTTATCGCTAAGCGCCTTTACATTTTTATGCACAGCTACAGTGGGATTGCTTGACCCGTCGCCCCTCAGCCAGATCAGGGCGTTCTCCACCAGAGCAGGAAAGGCTGTCAGGTAGGCCTCATGACCCAGAGCAACAATCCTTCCACAACCATACAGAGAGGCAGCCATCAGGACCTGACCTTTACTGTTCATGGCTAAAGGAAAGGCATGGTCTCCGATCAGCAACAGGTCGCTGGGAACGTAGGGGCCACGGAAGTCCAGCTCTTTCAAACCTTTGGTCAGAGACATGTAGGCCTTCTCATGATCGTTTTGGATGCTCTGGTTTGACATGGTGTAATCTAGGTATACTTGAAAGGTGGGTGAAAAATAATTAACTGCAGATTATTTTTGATTCAATGTTTCAAACACATCAAGTTTAGCCGCTTCTCTTCAGTCAATAACTTCAGAATCAGTCTGTCAGACCTAAAGAAGGAGAACAGTTTAAAATATAATCCAGATTAATGGAAGTTGTGACAAGTTAAAACACAATAATGTAAATAAAGAAAATCTGTTTAACATTATGCATACCTGAGTGCTGACTTTGTAGATCCTCTGCTGTGAACAGGTGCTTCACAAATCACCAGCCTTCAGCAGAGAAGCAGGAATGTCAATAATAGCTGAGCAGGGAGTGACCATCTGAGGGAAAATAACAAAAAAGAGGAGGAACACCAAAGAGGACAACCCTCAACAAAAGATCAAGTAAAACCTGTTTCACACGTTGGACTAGGAAAGATGACAATAGAAACAATTCTGGCCAGGAAAATAAAGAAACACACCATGCAAAGGTGATTTTTTTTTTATTTTTTGTTTGGAAAGCGCTATCAAATCTGCAAAATGTTGTGGTTTTTAAAGAAAGCCAACTTACAAAACAAAGTGCAAAACTAGACAACCTTTTGAACGTGTGTGTATCGGTGGAAAAATACATGAGTATGATGATGTTTCTCGCTGTTAAAGCTTTCTTCTTTCCCAAATCCGCAAATGACGGCATTCTCATCTACGACACACCCGCAAAATATTCCACACATTCAATTGATGAGAGGAACTGACAAGTTTTTGTCTCTAAAGGACCGTGAATAAAAGCTAGATATTTGTAACAGAATTTACAGACGACATAAAATAGTTAAAACAGTTTTTAAACTTACAATTTATGTTTCGTTTTATCCGTGCCCGGTGCCCTTCCGGAACTAAATTGTTGAAGCGGCTTTTCTACACGAGCCTAATTCACAGAAGGAACACGAGTAAAGCGCTGCCAGCTCTATATTGTTTTTTAGATTTATATATATTTTTTATTTATTATTTATATATTTTTTTTATTTATTTTTATTGAGCAAAAAACATTAATTTACTTTTCAAGTAGGAATCTCCACTTTTCTTTCTTACAAAAATTGAGAAAATAACAGTTATATAAAGGAGCTCAACTTGTGCAAGGGAGCAGAAATAAATAAATAAACAGGAGGCAATATTACAACCAATGGAAATATACGAAACTTTAAAAAATTTTTGAATTAAAATAAAAGAGACAGACTAAAAAAAATTGAATTAAAATAAAATAGACAGACTGATAATGCAACCAGACATTTCCTTGCATCATGTTAACTTTAGTATTTTGTTGAGTCAATACAGAAATTTTGACATGTCACTACATAGTGTTTGTATATGTCCATATTTGTCAGCTAACAGAGATAAGGATGAATAGAAGATAATGAGTTTGTGAACTGTAAAGTGCCTTGAGATGATATGTGTTGTGAATTGGTGCTATATAAATAAACTGAATTGAACTGAATGAAGATTTTTGATTTTTCCATTTACATGCATGTACAGTATATATCTTCCCATACTTATAACAATATTGACCATGTCATATAAGTCCTTCGCAATGTCATTCTTGTATGTTAATATTTGATTTATCTCAAAAGGTGTTATATTATCTATTTTGTTACTTAACCAAATATGCAGGTTCTGCCAAAAGCGACCTGTGACTCGACACAAATAGATAGATGTTCAATAGTTTCTGGTTCTTCAAGGCAAAATACGCAGGCATCCACCTCAAATCCAAATCTTTTCTTAAGAGTTTCTGCCTTTGGATAATAACTATTAATAATTTTATATTGTATTTCTTTTACTTTAGAGTGGAATTTACCATTTTAAACATTTAAAATATTTTCCTACATTACCTGAATCTGATTTTTTGTCATTCCAGTAAAATTGTGAAAGGTTTTACATTTAAAGGCCGTCCCTATAAAATTATTGTTACATTTTTTATCTCTAATAGGCAATTGCTCAATTTTTAGTTCTGGAAAGACTCCTTGTATATTTGACTGAGAGAGTGTGCTTCGTATTAGATGCAGCAGAGCAGCAGGTATTATTACCAGCACTGTACTGTAAAAGGGGCAAAGTAAAACTTGTTTAGAACTCCAAATATTGAATGGCCTTTTTTTTTTTGAATAAAAAAATATATCATATATTCAATATATGTACCGTATGAGATTTGTCATTTAAAAAAACAACATTGCCATTTCTAACGTTTTAAAATGAATGAAAACTTGCATTAAAATAATACATTGATTTTCATTGGGTTATTGATATTGATATTTTACCCCTTAAAAGGGGTTAAAAAATATGGTATGTATCTTTTTGTTATAATAAGAGTCATGAATTTGTAAGGGGAAGAAAAAGAAACATTAATTTCAGTTCTGCTGATAAAACTAATTTAGAGCTGAAAACATCACATGACCTTTGAGAGGAAGAAAAAAAACAGAAAACTTGTTGAAAATTGTTTTTCATAACCATATATTATTCCTTAGCAATATCTCTTTATGAATCCGTACCATCAGGATTATTCGGTGTCTACCTAGCATCACCTAATAATTTTATTTAATAATTTCAGTAATATTTCTGTCATTTCAATCAATCATGCACATTATTATTTATGTGCCATATTCTGTAATAATTATTAAACAGAACATTATTTTATCTGTGGCTGACAAGCGTTGATTATTAACTTTATAAGGTGTCATTACAGTAGCCGTAGCTTTAGAGACATTTTGTTTTTCTTATAATTAACATATTGGGAATCATTAGTTGTGAATTATTGTTCATTTAGTTAATCATTGTTACTTTGTTTGAGCTAGTCAGACACATTTTATTATATCTCCTCCCATATTGCCATGTGAATATCCGCATTTACAGGCTTTGTATTCATTTCAGTGGAGGTGGTGTCTACTTGGTCTGGAGGTAATATAAGTGAAGCAGTTGGAGTATAGTCAATGCTAGTCTAACAAAGGAGTGGCATGACATGTAGGAGTGAAATGTTGAGCCTCCTTAGTAAAGTATGTAAATGGAGCCCAAATATTCCCAGAACTATTACATCATTAACTCTTTTAAGAAAATAAATGGTATACAAGATATTTAGGAGATAAAAATAGTCCCAAATGCTCGGCTCGTCATCTGCTATGGTTGAACACAAGTGATTTATAAAGTAAAAACTCTTCACTCACATATTGAGGTACTGAATGGCAAGAGAAAAGAAGTCTTGCGAAGGCCGGATAGTTTGAAGATAGCCTCTTTAAAAGATTCCAGGAATGCTTTAAACGGGAATAATTACATGGTATGTAAGAGTTTTTCATACTTGCAGGTTAGAGTCATATGCCGCAGCCACTTAAAAACATATTTCTCCTCAAAGAATGCATTGTTTGATGTGTTTTAATTATGTATAGATCTTATTATTTTATAGGTAGCCTATACATCTCATCCACCACTGAGTCTATGATATATAAAGGATATATTAATTATTGATTCTCAACAAACCTTCCTGTTGATGTTTCTTTGCTGTCAAAGTGTTTATGTTATGACAAGATATCCCACAATTTGCTATTAGTTTAAGGGGCCCTATTAAAATCCATTTTATTAGCTCCTTAGGTCCAACACTCTGTCTTATTTTTCATAATTCAACTTTTTCCATACAAACCACATTATCCTAAATATGTGTAACTGTAAAGTGAGAGAAAAATATTTAAGAAAATATATAGTAAATTAATACAATATTTGTATTTTGCAGAATTCAAACTATAACAAATTGCTGTTGTTTAGCAGGATATTCATTTAATTTAAATAGAAAGGAATAACAAATTAATAGAACAGAATGCTTTGCAAAAACTGTTCTTCCCAAAAAGGAAAAGTGACACAAAGTTCCCTCTTGCTTACAGTAGGGTTATTCCTACTCTATTCTAAAAAAGGTTCTCTCATGATAGGGTCTTATCTCAAGAGCAGCCATGTTGTTTTAATGCACCTTATTTTGAATCCAACTAGTTCTAGTTATCTTAATTGTGACATTCATGTGTAGAACTGAATGCAAACCCATAAGACTTTCATACTTGGTGACTTGTTCATTAAAAACTGCCTGTATTTTATGAGAATCCAGAGATTTGCGACCACAGGGTGAAAGCTTAAGCAGAACCGGGCAGATGTGCAAACGTTGGAATACACAGGTGATAACAATAAAACCTGGTTATTAACATTAAAAAAACCAAAGGGAAATTTAGAAAACCTCCTTAAAAATACAGAAATAATCATTAGAAAAAGTAGTTAAAGACAAAACATATAAAAACACTAAGAAATAAACAAAACAAAAACCTGATGAACTGCAAAAACAAAAAAGTAAGCAAAAAGGAAAAATGCGGAAAACTGAAAAAAGTATGGCGAGTCACTATGAACAAAAGGCCCAGATCCAGATCCGCAGTCTTCCTTTGAGCGCTTTCAGTGTCAAAGATTAAAACTTAGATTGACTGCTAAATGCATGTACGCAGGAAAAAATTTATACATTTTCCACTTGTTTTACACAATTTTACACATATTTAACACTATATTCCTCTAGGGCTGCTCATTGGCCCAGTGGGTAGCACTGCTGCCTTGAAGCAAGAGGGTTCTGGGTATGATTCCTGCCTCTGGTTCATTCTCCATGGAGTTTGCTTGTTCTCCCTGAGCATGCGTGGGTTCTCTCTGGGTACTCTGACTTCCTCCCACAGTCCAAAAACATCCCTTTTAGGTTATCCGGCTTCTCTAAATTCTCATTAGGTGTGAGTGTGAATGGTTGTTTGTCTCTGTGTTGTCCTGCGATGGACTGGCGACCTGCCCAGGGTCAGACCCTGCCTGTAGACAGCTGGAGATCCAACACCTTCATGGACCCCAGCAGGGATGAAGCATGACAGATGGACATATTCCTCTTGTTGATAACCTGAGTATAAGCTTGTTTTTTTTGTTTTTTCTTTATTGCAAAAACGTATTCACCTAGCAGAAAAGGCTAGATCTGAGCCTTATCTTTCTGATACCTTAGATGCTGTTTTTTTTTTCTATGTTAGTAATTGTTGTAAGGAGCTGGATTCCTCATTCCAACAATTCTTCTTTTTGTGGAAAACTGTCTACTTGTTTAAATAAGCTGTTGGGAGAAAACCTCCCTGAATTTTATTTGGTTCTTAAGTAGGTAATACAATAACTTGTCTGATCAGCACAGAAAGATAATTGACAAATATTGTATCTGTTCTCTAATAAATTCTGCTTAAATGACAAACACCGATCTAATGTCTTGTTAATTTATGACTTTGACATTTTTTTTATAGCACAAGACAAATGACGCGTTATTTTCCAACAAGAATTATTTATTCCTTATGATCACTACTTTTTAGGTAGTGCGCATTATTTTGAAACATCTTTAATTATCTCTGCATCACTATGAAAAATGTACTTAAACCATATACTGAAAATATACTACAGAAAAATTCACATACAATCTCTTTCATGTGTATTTTATACTACAGAGATATTGTGTAAATCAGGCATCCCCAAAGTCGGTCCTTGAGGGCCGCTGTCCTGCAGCCTTTAGAGGTTTCTCTGCTTTCTCACAGCTATTTATAATGATTGCAGTTCAGCAAAAGCAAGTTAATCAACAATCAATGAAAATCTGCTTTGCAGGAGCAGGAAAGCCTCTAAAACCTGCAGGACAGTGGCCCTCAAGGAACGACTTTGGGGATGCCTGGTGTAAATGAAAGCTTGGATCAGCTCTTTATATCAGATTTATCACAGATAGCACCGCCATTGCTCACCATTACTCCTTAAACTCCTTTGTTAAATTGCCCTCTCTACATACTCAGACTCTTACATTGGTAAGCATTCATTTACAGATCCATTCTTGCTGTGGTTCCGCCATGTTGCATCTAATGTAAGCGTTACCAAAACCTTCATTCTCAGGTATTTCTTACAGTTAGTGTTCCAGTTGTACATACTGAGCTTGGCTAAGGCAGTGAGCTGAGGAGAGGATATTGAGTAGAGTAGGAGTAAAAAATAATAAAAAAAAATAAAAAAAACACTGGGAAGATATCTAACATAATTTAAAACAACATCAATATTTTTTTTTATTCAAATAGCTGGTCAGTAAACAATAAACCTAAAACCAGTGACTGGGGAACCATAAAAAAGAAACCAAGTGACTATATAACAGAGAAAAAACACAATTCAAAGTCTTTAAATGACTAAAAAAAAAAAAAACCTGAGTAACCTGTTCCAAAGAACCTAAATAAAATAAAGAAACTACAGAAACATGAACCTGAGATGAGAAACAGAATAAAAAACAAGAGAATTTCGACACTAATAGCTTTGCAGGTAGAAAATGAGCTGAATGTTTCAAACATCCTGAAGGCCAATTGGTTATGATCTTTTTAATTATTTTTTTTACATATAGCAACTAACACTGTAGTGATTTGGTATATTAGTTTTTAAGAGCAGTGTTACATACAGTGTGTATTGCTGAAAATAAAATATACACTAAACTAAAATCCTCCCACTGATAAATGAGTGTAACAAGCAAACAACATACAGTAATTTTTCAACAAATGGAGAAGTAAAAGTACATGACAATATTAATACTTCATACAGACAACACAGTATTTATCCACACCCTGAAAACTGTTCTTCCTGTGTGTGTATTTGTCTAAGTATTTAAGTTACCCAACTAAGGCTTGATTTTTCTATCAACCCAAAAAATATTAAGCTAGACTTTTACATTACCCAGTAATCTTATATTCTTTCCTCTTCCCTGGGAAACAATTAACATTATAAACTAGAAAGTGCTGAATTTACATAGATTATAGCCCATCTTAGAAACTGCTCAATGCTCAGAAATTATTCGGTGTCCAGGTAGTGATGTTAGACCATGGGGTGATCTGTCCAGGCGGGCAGGCTGGATAGTTGCTTTTCAGTAGCCTGTTCAATAGTCCACCCCCAGGCTTTGAAGAATCCTGTCAGGTTCATCCCTACAGCCTTGGAGAACGTCTCAGCATAGACCTTCATCTTCTCTGGGTTGCCTTTAGGGAACTTTTTCATCTTATGATAGGCTGCAAACACTTTCTTAAGCGCGTCCCAGCCAAACTTTTCCTGAAGCTAGGAACACCAAAACACAAAGCGTTAGTGAACCATTTAATCCACATGATTTCTGACCAAGCAAACTTACTGTATGTAGTTTTCTGTTAGGTTAAAGTGCAGCTCTTTAAGATATAGGCCGTGTCCAAACATCAACCCTAATCACTATATAGGGCACTATATAGTGGTTACGCCATTTTAAATGAGTGTCTTGTGGATGAAATACTAGTGGACTTCAAATTTCCCACAATGCAACTTTAAAAGTGGTTATCATCCATGGTCACTAGACAAGCAGATATATCCCAGAATGCTTTGTGAGAGCTTTCCTCGCAATGCATTATGAGATTTGTTGTGACAGTGGTGAAAAATATCAAAGATGGCACCTGAACCATGCGGGGAGACAGAAATATGTGACCAACGGGGAGTGAAAAGTAGTGAATTTAGTCATAGTGAAATGACTACATTTTAGAAAGATTTGCAGGTAATCACTTTATTATTACTGTCAATAATTGGGAAAAGTTTTCATTGTCTTTGTTATTCTATGTGACCTTGAAGCACACCGTTTTTAAACTGATATGAAACTCTTACCTGTATGTATGTCTCCAGGGCCGTCCACACACTCCAGCTGCTGAACTTTCTGCCTCCTTCAATGTAGTCCTTGACTCGTTTAGTTCGTTTTGCAGAATCCATTGCTGAATGAGCCTACAGTAACCATAATAAGGCTATTAAACTATGCAAAAGAATTTGTTTTAGTATTTCACCATTTTAGACATGGATTTTCTCTACCTTGTCCCTGTTGATCCCAAAAACCGTTTCATGCACATAAACAGACCACAGGTTACATGTGGCCTCTGTGGTGTTGGGGGGGAACTCCCAGCAGCTTCTCTGTTGGTTGTGTCCCAGTTCATGGATGGGTCCCCACATGCCTTTGGTCTTAGCATTTTTAACGCTCACCAATGCAGCTGCAGAACCTTTATGAGCCATTATAGGATACCCTGCATGCATCCAACCTGAACAGAAAAAAAGCTTATAAAAGCATGCAGTTCCACGGCACTGTTTAGGAGATTCATCGGGATAAAAATTATCTGTGAAACCAGAAAATTACCAACCATGAGAAATCTGAATGTCGGCAACAAAACGCTCTTTACGAGGGAATTTGTGGGGTTTGGCAGCCAGGTCAGCGATGGCCTTCATGATGTCATTCCAGAGTGCTGCCAACTCATCAGGATTCTCCAGCTCTCTAACCGCGTCTGAAGGTACGGTGAGGATGATGTTATCAAACTCCAGCTCAGCCCAAGGGGAAGGAGCCGAGCGCAACGAGGACCATTCAGTGTTTGTTGTTACACCTGAAAAGTATGAAGTAACAAGCTTACATTTAGTAAAATTATTTATAACAGATGAAAAAACTGTGTGCTACTGTTGAGGAATGATTTTAATTTGAGTTATTGTCATATTTAGAGTCATATTTTTATCTTCATCTACCATAGTATACATGTAAGATTAAATAATACTACTTATACTTCAGCAATAGTATCAAGGTGTTACTTTATTGTATGTTTTATCGTTATCTAAAAAATTTTTTATCGTTATCTCCCCTTTTATCTCCTCTTTCTTTCATCATTTCGCCTTTTTTCAGTTTTTGCTTTCCTGTTCTACTAACATTGCAGTCAGAATCAAAATCAGAATCAAACATACTTTAATAATCCCAGAGGGAAATTACTGGGATTATTAAAGTGTGTCTGATTCTCCATATAATTTGTAATACTGCCTGCATAAAATAATAAAAAAGCTATTTATATGCATAAATCAAGCGGAACACTATGGTGATAGCCATACTGCTCCACTTTCAAAAGCAAAATCTGTTGGGCTCTTCAAGGCAATTATTCTTATTGCCACATCGCCAGACAGGAGACTGTTTAAAAAAAAAAAAAAAAGTTATTGTTGCAAGACAGAAAACTAGAAGTATTTCTTATTTGTTTATGGTGTTAACTGCTGTCACAATAAGGTAATTCCCTCATATTATGCAAAGTGTTTTTTTTATAATTAAAATATGTACTTCTGTTTTAGACCTGCACTAATGAAAATGTTTTTGACAGTAATTAAGCGAATGTAATATGAAGAAAACATCTGAAGCATTTGTTTACCTAATCTAAGTGATCTGAGTCTAATTGATGGCATATCGGAGTTTAGAGATCTTGTTGCAAATCAGAAAACTGATCAAACTGTCTTTTTTTTTGTTGCTAACTGTAGTTACCACCATAAAGTGATATATTTTTTTCCATGCTATGAGTTCAAAGACTTATTGAATTTTACAGTAGTACGTGTTTTGGATTAGATACCAACCCTCCATCTTAATAAATTGCTGATGTCAGCAACTTTCAAATTCAACGAGCAATAACTGCAATGTGTACAACTTTTGGGTCCTTGGTGAGAGGCATTTTCTCTAGTTTGAATTCCAACTTCAAAATGTGTTCTTGTTCACATTTCAGGAGCTCAGTCATTCAGGAGAGGCTCAGTGTAGAGCCGGTTCTCCTCCACATCCAGAGGAGTCAGTTGAGGTGGCTCGGACATCTTCTTCGGATGCCCCCTGGACGCCTCCCTCGGGAGGTGTTCCAGGCACGTCCCACCGGGAGGAGGCCCAGAGGACGACACAGGACACGCTGGAGAGACTATGTCTCTCGGCTGGCCCGGGAGCACCTAGGGCTTCCCCCAACAGAGCTGGAGGAGGTGTCTGCAGAGAGTGAAGTCTGGAAGTCTCTGCTTAGTCTGCTGCCCCCGCGACCCGGTTTCGGATAAAGCGGGAGACAACAGGAACGAGCATGAGTGTTCATTTCAGAAAAACTTCCCAGTACAAAAAACAACAGTCTAAGAAGATTTTTACATGAGCGACTTTTTCCAAAGATCCAACCAGGCAAAAATGGGTAACATTTGTGAAAGAACGTAAATAAGAGAACGATGGCTCTTATTGTATGAATAAAAAAATTTGTTCTTTCTTCAGTACATGTTTTACGGCAAAATTATTAACATCTTTCAGTCTTGCTTTACTAAAGACAAAGAAAAGGCAATTGCTTGGCGATGGCTGATGGTGACTAGTAGAGTCAACCTCCAGATCATCAAGCTTACTGTGGGTGCTACTTGTTAGGAAGCATGATGTTTCTTGAGGAACATATTTGGTCACTTCCCAATCAAAACAGAAGGTGGTGCTGCCCCTTTTGCCTCCTCCTCCCATTAAACTGTATTTATCTCTAGTAGTCAAGAGTCCCCTAGAAAGATTTCATTAAAATAAGTCAAAAGGTCCAAATAGTGTCAGCCCAAGACTCCTAAAGGCATGTGCACTTCAGTTTTATGGGATTCTGCAGTATGCTTTCACCCTTAGCCTCATCCAGAAGACAGTTCCTCTGGAATAGAAGACTTCCTGTTTTGTTCCAGTGCCAAAGAAAATCACCCAACAGTCCTCAATGACTATAGACCTGTTGAGCAAACATCCCATATATTGAAGATCATGGAGAGACTCTTGCTAAACCCACATAACAAACCACAAACCAACTATCATGGCCACCTGCTGTTTACTTATTGCCATGGAGTTGGTGTTGAAGATGCCATCCTACACCTGCTTCAACAAAGGCACTGTCATTTTGACAAGGCAGACAGCCCTGTAAAGACCACGTTCTTTGATTTATTTAGTGCATTTAATGCAATGTAACCTTATTGACTTTGTCATAAGTTCTAGACTCAGTGGAGGCATCAACAATGGCCTGGATCAAAGACTACCAAAACAGACTCCAGTGTGAGTGAGAGTGAAGGGTCAAGTGCCTACCCAGGTAATCAGTCTTATAGGAACAATACTCACACTATTGCTTTATGTTCTGTAGATCTTCTAGATCTTCCAACTTCCAGAACAAGACAAAATCTGTCATCTGCAGAAATACTTGGAGGACTCTGCAG